CATACTGTATATCAATACATATACTGTGACATATGTTTTTGATGGCATACTGTACATCAATACATATAACTGTGGCATATGTCTTTGATGGCATACAGTTTATCAATACATATACTGTGACATAATAATGTTCACTGTCTTACATCAGTGTGGTTATAATCTTTAATACAAATCATACAATTTTCTTATATTTTATTATAGTGAAAGAAATTCATGGCTACTGTTAGATTGTATGAGGCAATGTGGATTTGTTAAAATATACATTGTGGAGACTACCATGTTGAAAGCTCATATAAATGCCCTGTTAAAACAGTTAACATTACACATTATGCCCTTCACATTCATCATAGCAGTACATCAATGAGTAGTATGTAAGTGTAGTCTTGGCAACTGAATTCACATACTATATGCAAATGTTCTTCAATAAATTTCAGTTCAGTTTTTACTGACAATTTAACACCTTTCCTCGATGCATAAACATATAATATGATGGTCTATTGCTTGCTGTATCAAAAGATCTGAAAATAAGATGAAAAGAAACAAGTGTGTTGAGAAAGCAACAATACAATGTAACAATTCCCTACATGAATATACTTTTAACTCACAGGAACAGGAATACAATGTAGCCATTTCCAATTTCCATATGAATACAATGTAGCCATTTTAATGTCCATGTGAATACAGCTGTATGATATATAGAAGATAATATTTGGTAATCATAGTCCTAAATAACTATTAAAAATAGCTAGACGTTTTGAACAATGGCTCTTTATCGATAGCATAGAAGAAAATGTTTATCATATTTATCAGTGCGAGCAGCGTTTATTAATTTATTGAATACAGTTGTAGTCATTTAAATCACCATGCGAGTACAAATTCTAATTACAATTTTTATATAAATACACGTGTCACTAATATCTTGCTCTATTAGTCACACTTGTGCGCACATAAATGACAGTTATTTACAATTTACATAAAAACACAGAGAAGCAGCCAGAATAAGTCTGTAAATGTAATAGGATTTGTATTTAACAGAATAAACCAGAACTGAAATTACACTTACTTGTTTTCCAACTCTGCTGCTGCTTTTATTTCTCTAAAATTGCCAGCTAAATGGACAACACCGTAAATTGTAATGAGCAGACTGATTAAACACTGAAGAACAATCTATAAAAGAGAAGCATTTTAGATAAAACAG